AAAAATGAGGGTCAAGGAAGCTGAATAACTGGAGTTAGAGTTGATGAGGGTAATACCTTCTTACTATTCATTGCTAGATAATAACCACCCTAAAATTTAGTGACTCGATATAATTTCTTTTTCACTTTTAAAACTCTGTGTGTTAACCTGACTCAGCTGGAGAGTCTAATTTAAAATTGCTCAAGATGTTTTGATCTAATGTGGACAAGAATTACAGTTATATGAAGACCTCATAGGATTGAACATCCAGGACAGGTAACACATATAACAGACAGTGGATGCTTCTGCCTTCTGCCACATCAGATTATTAAAAATAATAATCTTCCCAAGCTTCTCCAAGCAGGATGATGGGGTCTGAGAGGAAGTGTCCCACCAGTAAGCATTCAAAGAGAATGGGATAAAGACCACGAGATTTCTTTACTCGTATATTTGAGTATAAGGCCTGAACTTCTCACTCCATGGGAACCTAAGGTATAAGCATATATTTTCTTATATGCTAGTCGGCATATAATCAGGAATCAAGAATCAGGAAACAAAATTTGCTAGACTATTGAAGAGCTAGATACAGAAAAAGACTTACAAAATACTATATCTGCTTTTCTGCTATATATTCTCTGTGAAGAGCTTTCCAAAACCTGCCCCCTGTAGTAGAGGATAACATTGCACGTGAGCTGTATAATGATACTGTTACCACTTTTCTAAGACCTTACAAAATTATGTAAAATAGGCAAGGATGATGTTACCTAAATTGTGTTTTTGACAAGGAAACAGAGACTGAGGAATACGAGAGTCAACATAATTCTATTATTAAATAAACGGCTTGACATTGAACTCTAGCTTTGTGAATCCAAACTGAGTCTTCCGGGAAAATCATGTTCTACTTCTCACATTCCTCACCACAACCTCCCTCCAGAGATGGGAAAGAGGATGGAGACTCACAATAGTGACCTCTACTAACCACATTTCTATCTTCCTGCTCTTCCTATTCCCTGATCTTTTGGGCCTGTCCCCTTAATTCCTTCTCTCCCTGTGAGCCTTCACAGATAGATAGATAGATAGATAGATAGATAGATAGATAGATAGATAGATAGATAGATAGATAGATAGATAGATAGATAGATAGATAGATATGGAGATATATAGTTATGTGTGTGTGTGTGAGAGAGAGAGAGAAAGAGAAAGAGAATTAATAGAAAGTTATATCAGATGCTACATGAAAGTCAGCAGAGCCATGGCTGATACATAATCAGTGTCTAAAACATTTCAGATATTGGTATTGCTATTGCGATTCCTATTTGATTCCCTCAGGATAGAGATTGATATTGTCCCTTGCTCTTGATTTTCATTCCTCCCTAACCATTTTTCTTCTACATGCAGTTTTTACCTAGGCTATCTCCAGATAACCTGAACCAGGGAATAATATTCTTTGCTTAATGCTTTCTTTAGCTTTCTGCTTCCTTGGTAGAAATGGCTTTGCACCCCTCCCTAATTGACTCTGGAAACCACATGCAATTATGCAGGTAATGAGCTGTTAAAAGATAGTCATAAAGGAAAAGAATGTGCATCAAAATAAAATGCAGATGTAGATTTATTACCACTTTCCAGCAGATGGCAGTACCATGAGCTACTGTAACAAGTATGAGATGCTGTCAGCTCATCCCACTATTAGCTCTTTTTGACACAGCTGACAGATCTGTTCATGTAATTGTCACTATATGTAATTTACCCATTTTCTAACTACCTGAATTACAACTCTGGAGAATGTTTACATTTAGTCACTCAACAGGACCTATTTCTTGGCTTGAAAATTTAATATAGCTAACTTTACATGAGAAGTACTGCAGATTCATCCCAGAGCCTTGTGTATGTAAGTATGTGACCAGTTGAGCCATGCCCCAGTATATTTAGTTTGCTTTTCCATAGGAGTCATGCTTTTGCCTGGCTAACCTTGGACTGTGAGGCTTTTACCTCCATCTCTTAAGTAGGTGGAATTGACCCTTATTTCTAGGCCTGTATCACCACATCTAGCTCAGATTGTATCAGTCCTACCATTAAGCAACCAAGCATACAGATAATCTGTAACTACATTAGTTCTTCCTTCCCTTCTGCCTTTCCCATCCTCCTATCTTTGGGTTACACTTTTATTCATGTGTTTGATTCCTCCCTTCTCTCTCCCTTCTCAGGACTTTTGCATCATTGAATGATCATTCTCTTTTCCCCTACAGTTAAACCTTTCCATCTCAAATTGTCTTCATCTTATAAAAGTATCTCCCATTCACTGTTAATAACATTACACAAAATACATATCGCTGAAGGTACTGCTCTCTTTGCTCCATTTTCACACTGAAGTGTTCAGGAGAAGCTTACAGTTACCATCACTGTCAGTCCCTCAGAACTTTTGTGTTTGCTGAAACATTTTATTGCCTGCAACAAATTCCCCTGGACACCACATTGTGATTGTCCTGCCATAGTGAAGATCCTAAGTGATCTTCCTAACGGTGTTGGGACAGGTATTGCTGGCCTTGAGTAGGTAGAAACTGGGAAAGAAGCTTCATCTCTAAGCATGGACAGAAGGGAGCCCACAATCATGAGTTGCCTGGTCTAACATTTCAAATGGCACTGAGGTTGAGACATTCTGCTGTAGAGGCAAACCGATTTTTTCATACTATACACCTGATTTGGTAATGTGTGTGTGTGTGCGTTAACACACCACACACACACACACACATACACACACACACACACACACACACAAACACACATCAACAACTTTCCATTAAGCTAAGACAAAAATAGTCAGTACGGATCTGCAGGTCCTTTATGTTCCAGGCTCTGACTGAAGCTGCAAGTCATGTAGCTCATGTTCTCTTAGGATTCTTCTTCCAGCCATATTTCTATTCTATTCTATTCTATTCTATTCTATTCTTATCTCAGGACATTTGTACATGTGGTTTTCTCTGTGTGGAAAGTGTGCTGTCTTATAAAGCCCCAATTTTTCTTCAAATACCTACTGGAGACTTTTCCAGGAGTATTCTCATATGACTTCCTCCCTGGGAGTAGTGCTGTCTCAATTGGTGTTATCAGAACTTATCTGGCTTGTTGACAGTTATATATTTATATTGGTTTATGTGCTTTATTATGATTTGATTCTCACTAAACTGAAAACCGCAGAGGTCAGAATACTTTCATTTCCATTCTATTCAAAATAAAACTAGATGAGAAATGGCTATTTCTTGAACTTGAAATAGTCAATACTGAGTCCCGGAATGAACAGTGAAATGATCCAGGCCACACAAGTAATAACAGCCAATTGAAGGCTTCTGCATTTACTTTTAATAATCCAGTGTTTTGTGCATTTATTAAAGACTAAGTTTCAAGTCAAAGCAACTCATTTGCACAGTGCACAGATTAGAAGAGATTAAAACATTACTGCTTTGATTAGAGACAACTCAATCTCATCAAGGGTACATCTAACTCTTGGTTATACTCTGATAAAGAATTTGCCTCAGAACAGTGTAGATTTGATAAGAGAGGCTTGGAAACAGGTCTGGTACCTTAATATGTAGATTGTCTAGGTATTTCTCACCACCTCAGCATAAGATGTTATGAATTCCAAACAGAGAGTACTTGTAGAGTGTACATTGGTCACTGACATTTGAAACACTTTCAAAGATAGTTGTTTAACATACTCAGTCTAATCTCATGGACTATGTTAACCAGACCATCCATTAGAGACACTGAGCTCCAATAAACCACTCAGAAAACTGGAAGTGGGGCTGCAGTTCATGTGGTAGAGAGCTGGCCTTGAGCTGAAGAGCTGAGAGAAACTGCCCAGGCTCAGAGTTCAAGCCCCATGACTGACAAAAAAAGAATAAATACAACATCCATATCATTGCAGTCGCCTTTCTTGGCAGTGGTAGAAGATACCAGAGTGAACAACAGTACAGGAGTATACATTCACACACATATAAATGTATAACAAAAATTTAAAAATGTATAAGATTTATCTATGAATCAGATAATATTGAACAGAAAATGCATTTCCGCTAAGAAGTATTTTAAAACTTGAAGCTACTTTTCCCACTTGCCTCACTCATACCAATGTTCAAACATGAAAAGCAGTCATTCACATCACTGTATGATTTCCTAGTGCTTTATAACTGCAGTCTCCTTTGCAAAGACCTAAAATTTTCCATGAGCTATTAAAATTTTTTCCATGCATTACTTGTTATATCTATAGATACATCTACATAGATATAGATAGGTAATAGGTAAATGATAGATGAACATACTATTGTTTCTGAAACTGTAGTTACACATTTACCACGTTCTACAATTTTAGTCAAAATATTTAGTGTAATTAGATTGACTTGTTTGATATTACTCAAACTACAAAATATGGAATACTAGACTGTATCATAAATATTTCTATACATATTATGGGACTTATAATCAACATTTTTTATTATTAAGAGAAATAATTTCATAGTATTCATGAATTGACAATCTGTACATGGTAGCTAAATGTTTTATTTTGAAGCTGAGAACTCATTAATTGCTAGGATGATTATTGTAGGGTGAGCATGACATTAAAGAAAACTTAATTCCTTCTGTCGTTAGCATGTAATATTGATGCACTGCTACTTTCTGAATATTCCTCATTGACATTTCTCGGGCCTAGGGAGTTGTATGTATTACCATATATTATGCTGCACTGTGACCCTTATTTCTGCTTTGTCTTTTATGAGTGGGGAAAAGCACACACATGAAAGGAAAGCTAATTCAGAAATGGAAACAGTGGCAAAGAAGTAAACCAAGCATCAGATGTGTGTTTGTGGGTCTTAGCAAAGTTATTAAAAATTTTCCCTGAAGCATATTGAAAAACATCACTCACGATAGAAGCCCCCTCTATTTTCACCCCTCCCTTCTAAACCCCTGAAAACCACATCTGTTTCCCACTGATAGCTTTTAACACACATCCCTTTAATGTCTCCTAACAGGAAGTGGAAATTGAGCGAAGCTTATGTTCACCAACCTTTAAGAGTCACCCTGGGAGCCAGTCAGATGACTCCGGGAAAGATTCAGACAAGAAAGGCAAGGAAACACCCTTTGACAAGATGTCACCTGAAAGTGGTCACAGCCACATCTTTGAAGGTTAGCATAAAATCTTGATGTGATTTACTGAGATCATACTTTGTACAGCATAGTTGTGCAATAAGTAAGGTATATGAGGAATCATTTAAAACTAAGAAAAATGATGACAGCATATAGCTTAAGAAACCCAATTCAGGAAAGATAGAACTACATGCACATGCATTGTTATTATATAAGACTATGATTTAAAACTATATGGATCATATTAAGTTATTGTAAAGTATTTCAATATGCATTGTCAGTGTTGTTTCTAACCATGGACGTTATCTGATTCTTTTGTGTATCCTTTTGGGAAAAGATAGGTTTCTTTCTGTGAGCAATATAATGATATATGCAACTGTCAGTAGCAAAAGAAAACAGTAAATAAAATAGTGCCTTGAGCATCTCTTTTTAAGACAATTAAACTGAATGTGATTAATGAACTAAAATAAATTTTGGCATGAGACTACCATATTTTAGGGGGAAGACATAAATTTTAAATACCATACAAGTGTCAATAAGTGATTAGTAGTTCATATGTGAGAAATTGCAGTAGTAATGAAATTTTCAACATTGATACAGATGTCAGTTCATCAGTACTGAAGAATCATTCTGAAGTTTTTCTGTTTAATCAAGAAATGCATGCTGTTTTTTTTAAAAGTTATTTTCAACATCATGTACAGAATGGTTACAGTGACATAGGTAAGGTAATGATTATGTTTCTTGTCAAACATTGCTACCTTCTCCCTCATTTTTCTCTCATTTTCCCTACCCCCATTCCCTCCTCTCCCCAAGTTGTAAAGTTTATTTCCAACATATTGTCTTGTGAGTATCACTGTTGCATTGGTTTTCTCTTTTTGTAATGTATTTTAAAGATTACAGTTACTAAAACTTTTAGGCTGTCATTTGGAATATGAATAGCAAACTATCAAGTTACAGCAATGTAGTCTGACTGTGGCACATTACAACTTGTATCTTTGCTTTAAAGTTTTGCTACCCAGTATTGTCTATGGATCAGAACATCAACTTCTATTGGGAGGTTTATTAGAAATGGTGAACCTTAGGTCACACACCAATCCTATTGAATCTGATCTGCATTGAAACAAGATCATCACATGATTCATGTCCACATTACTGTTTTAGAAGTTAGATCTTATGAAATTAAATATTGATTTTCAAGAAAATGTATATATGATGTAGCCTATCTAACTACATTTGGTTTAACTATGTTTGAAATGGTGGATGCACATGGGAAAAGTAGAAGAGAATTTACTAATGATGGATCTGTGTGTGTGTGTGTGTGTGTGTGTGTGTGTGTGTGTATGTGTGTCATGGGATTTACACTCAGGATACAGGTGAGCTACCTGTACATTTTTTGCTCCAGGCTAGCACTGTAACACTTGATCCCAGCTCCACTTCTATTTTTTTTTGGTGGTTAATTAGAGGTAAGAATGTCAAGGACTTTCTTGCCTAATAAGCTTTGAATTAGGATCCTCAATCTCCTAAATAGCTAGAATTACAGCAATGAGCCACTAGTAACAGGCTGGGCTAGGTTTGTAAAACGCATGAAAATTGGTATTACAGTGATGCTAAGTGAAATGAACCCCAAGATATGAACACAAAAGTCTGTCTTTGTTTTGTTTTAAATGTACGATGTGATTTTGTTGTTGTTTCCTCTGTATGTTCTTCCTCCCTATGCCATATCCCCTGTTGTCACTGTACTTAATTTTGGTACCCTGCATCTTGTATACACATTTGTCTAATCTGGAGAGGGAAAGGGGAATAACAAATACTTAAACAAGGACACAGAATGACCCATTGAAACACTGATACCCTCAGGATATATATTGGAAACTAACTTTACACCTTTGGGTGGGGGTGGGGGGAAGAAGTGTGGGAGGGAGGAGAATTAAGGGATAGTGGGACAACAATAAGGGAAGGGTAACAATGATCTGCAAGTAATGCACCCATGGCCTTACTCATGTAACTGTAACCCCTCAGTACATCAGCTTACAATAAAATAAAATTTTAAAAAATCCCCACCCCCAAAATTAGTATCTCAAGCTCTGTTTTCATTTTCAATTTATCCTAATTCTTCCAGTTAATATATTAACAAGAGTACTATCTGTTTTGAAGAATTCACTTTACATATTTTGGCCCTTCAAGTGCACTTGGCTGAACAAAAATGAATTAAGAGTTTGAGCAGAGGCCAAAAAAGGAAGTTCTAGGAAATGAGTTATGTTCTGATGATGCCGGCCTATCTTAGTAGCAAGGCAAAACTGAGTTTGTTGAAGTGATGAAATTTATGTGATAATTAACTCCTGTCATCACACCTGACCCCACCACTGTTTTTTGAACCCCATGCAGAAGATTTCATGAGCCCTCTTTAATTTACAGCAATGACAATGCACTCTTGAAGAAAATCTTGAAGTTTTGTTTCCTTTGTATTTGTTTAAGTATTTTGTTATTCCCCTTCCCCTCTCCAGATTAGACAAATGTGTTTACAAGATGCAGGGTACCAAAATTAAATACATTGACAACAGGGAATATGCCATAGGCAGGAAGAACATACAAAGGAAACAAATCTTCATAAATAATAATACATAATCTTCATAAATAATAATACATAAATCTGTATAAATAATAATTTTGACAAATTGTACAAACTAATATATTCCAGAAATCTGAAATTTGAAATGTCTCCAAATTCAAAACTTTTTGACTATTAAAAGAATGCTGAAGTGAAAAATTTTGCATCTGACCATATCTGATAATTGCAGTCAAAGTGCAATTGAACTAAAGGACTACATAAAATTATTTTCAGGCCAGATATGATGGTGTATAATTGTAACCCCTATGTTAAAAACAACTAAAAACAAAGAAATATGAATCACTATTTAAGTGGAAGAACACCTTCCTATCAAGTTCAAAGTCCTTAGTTTAAACTTTAATACCATGAAAAACCAGATTGTTTATATAAAATTTACATGAAACACTAGGCTTAGTCCTTGCTCCACATTTTATTACATATATACATATATTTTAAAATTATTTTCTTAAAAATCCCAAATCCAAAGGACTACTAATCCTAGGCATATCAGACAATGAATGTGGTAACCATGGTATAAATTTTTGTGGTAATAAATTTAGAAGTCTTATTTGTAGAATTTTCAGTAGGGGTGTGTATGTGTGTGTGTGTGTGTGTGTGTGTGTGTGTGTGTGTGTGTGTGTGTATTCTGTATATTCTGTTCTTGGTGCTTGAACTCAAGACCTGGGCACTACCTGGAGCTCCTTTTACTCAAAGCTACAACTTGAGACAGAGCTCTATTTCTGGATTTTTTGGGGGGGAGGTAGCTTATTGGAATTAACAATCTCACAGATTTTCCTGTCCAAGTTGGCTTTGAAAAGGATCCTCAGAACTCAGCCTCTTTTCGTTAATTGTGAAAATACTGTACAGAGGGGTTATAATTACATGAGCAAGGTGATGAGTACCATACAACGGACAAGGGTCTCATATCTAAAATATACCTGGAACTCAAAAAATTAAATCCCCCAATAACAAATCCTCAAAGAAAACTTTCTAATAAATAAGAGAAACTTCTCTGAAGAGGAAAGAGGAATGACCAATAGACACATGAAGAAGTGCTCAATCTCTCTAGCCATAAAAGAAATGCAAATCAAAACAACATTGAGATTCCACCTCATTCCAGTTAGAATGAATATAATCAAGAACTCTAATAACAACAGATGCTGGAGGGGATGTGGACAGAAGGGAACCTTACTACATTGTTGGTGGGAGTATAAACTTGTTCAACCACTTTGGAAAACAGGATGGAGGTTCCTCAAAAGACTCCACATAGAGCTCCCCTATGACCCAGCAATCCCACTTTTGGGCATTTACCCAAATGATCATAAACAAGACCATACTAAAGCTACCAGTACAACTATGTTTATTGCAGAATTATTTACCATAGCTAAGATATGGAAACAACCCAGATGCTCCTCATTAAATGAGTACATTTCTTATCAAGCATTGTTGCCTCCTCCTTTGTTTCCCCTTTCCATCCTGTTTCATGTCCACACTCCCCTTGCTCCTCCATTTACAACTTTACAAAGTTGTAAAATTCGTTTTTTGTAGCTAGGATTGCAGGCATGACCCCATCAGCACCAGGATGATTATATTTTTAAAAAATTGTTACAGTATAAGTCAATGTTTCTTTGTACTAATAAAGCTAGAGAACTAAAACCATCCATAATATTGATCAAGCTTCTCTTCCTAAAATACTGAAAATGTATTGCTGGTTTGTAGCTTTAATAACTCAGAGCTCTAATGTCTAATCATTACATATGTTTCTTCATGGTACTGAGAGTTCTTTTTTTTTCATTCCTGAGTCCCCATCTTGTTGTTTCTTTTTATTTTTAATAAGTTTTTTATTGTGAAAATACCATACAGAGGGGTTACAGTTACATGAGCAAGGTAATGAGTGCATTTCTTATCAAGCATTGTTGCCTCCTCCTTTGTTTTTCCCCTATCATTCCTTCCCTCCCATCTCCACAACCACACTTACCCCTCACCCCGCCCCCTGCCAAAGTTGTAAAGTTCGTTTTCCCACATAGCATCTTGTACATCTTATTGTTGCAGTGGGTCCACCTGTATCCTTTTTAAACAATTTGTTTTTTCCCTTCCCCTCCCCAAATTATACCAACATCAAATACTGTGAAAACAAATACCAACTGGTTAATATCCAGCAAGATTAAAACTGTTATTTGGAAGGAAATTGTTGAATTAGTGGACTCATATTCTTTTGTACTTGTTAAAACACATGAATATTAAATTGCTTTGTAAGTTGCAACATTGAAATGTGTCAAAATATAGAATTCAAGTCTGCAGTTGTGCGGCACACCATCAAGCAGTGAAATGGGACAAGCAGCTCAGGTAAGCCTCCAGGGACCATGAAATTCTCTCCCAACTTCAACTGTAAGAACAGCAATCTACTAGCTTAACCTTTGCACCGTAGAAT